ACAAGGCTACCAGAAGACCAAAGAGGCAAACGGACGCTCCGGATCCCAGCCCCAGACATGCCATTTCTACGAGGCACTGCATTCCATCCTAGGTGCGGCCGCCACCACTACCCCACCAGTGACCGTGGACTCTGAGGATGGGATATTGTCGACGGCCGGTTCCTCGGAGATGTTAGCGGACGGGGAAGATGAGGAAGGAGATGAGGACGACGAGGCAGTCGACAGCGCTTACAACGCTGATTTCCCCGACAGCAAGGATCTCTTCATCACCCTCACAGAGATCCCCTACCAACCCTCCCCAGGCATTAACCCGGACCCAGAATCAGGGGAAGGATCAGTCGGTAAGTGTTTTAAACATGTAAACATTTATTTTGAACAGAACATTAATATTAACAGTGTGTTTTTCATGATTTGTTTGCCCTAGGCGCTTAACGTTTCAGTCCTTGGCAGTGCAACTACTGCAAAAAAATCTAACAATGTCCAGTTTATCATGATTGGTTTGCCCTAGGCGCTTTACTGTTTAGTCCTTGCCAGTGCAGCTACAGTAAAATTCGGTCTATATGTCCGGGGATAGAGCTGAAATCCTCATGGGACATCTCCATGAAGCTCTCCTGGAGGTAATTGGAAAGCCTTTGCATGAGGTTCCTTGGGAGAGCGGCCTTACTGTGTCCTCCGTAGTAGGAAACGTTTCCGCGCTAGGCTATCAGCAAGTACTCCGGGATCATTGCCTTGCAGAGCATGGCGGCATACGGCCCTGGTCTTTGCAGGCTTTCACGAAGCATCCGTTCTTTCTCCGTCTCTGAAATCCTCATCAGTGATGTCGCTCATGGTGATCTGCTTTGAATTAGGTAGGGGAATGTTAGTATTGGGACTGCTTGCCTGTTCCTTTACAGAACTGTAACCGGCGGTTTACAGCCACGCGGTGGAGGCGGGAGAGGGGCAGCATACAGGGATCTTTCCTGGGACAGCCGCGAGGGGGTGGGACAGGGGCAGAGTTCATGCTTGCCGGATTGCTGGCAGCAGGAACTGGCCAACGCTAGGAGCATTGCTTTGAACGTGAAAGGAGGCCAGTGCTATTATTAAAGTTTTAAGCAGCCACAAGTCTACGGCTTACCATGTCAGCCTGCTACCCAAATTCCGCTGTCTTGCCCTGCTTGTCAGATCTGCACTGCAAGACCCCAGGCACTGAATGCGAAGGCCGAAAATTCGACCTTGTCCTGAGTGCGCATGTGATAGGTGCTGTGCATGGTCTTGTTCACAGAGAAAGACTATGTTCTTTGTTCACAACAAAATTTATCTTTCCGAGGAATTCATTCCCTTTTTCCCATCCCACAGCTGCGACTGTCTCCCGACCTACCCTGGCATCACACTCCCAGAGGCTAGTGCAGATTAGGCGTAGAAAGAAAAGGACACGGGACGACATGTTCTCGGAACTTATGGGCTGCTCCCGAGCCGAGGCAGCCCAGCAGACCCAGTGGAGGGAGAACATGTCCCAAATCCATCGATCACACATTGAACAGGAGGAGAGGTGGCGGCAGGAAGACCAGCAGGCGACTCAAACGCTGCTTGGACTAATGAGGGAGCAAACGGACACGCTCTGGCGCTTTGTGGATGTTCTGCAGGACCGGAGGCAGGAGGACAGAGCCCTGCTGCAGTCTATCTGTAACCGCCCTCCCCCGCCACAAAGTCCCATACCCCCCTCACCCAAAGTCCCAAGAAGGAGGGGCGGCAGAGTCCGTGAAAACTCTCACTCCACCCCTGCAGACCGCTCAAGTACCAGAAGGCTGTCATTCCCCAAAATTTGATAAGTCCTTTCCTTCCCGCCTCAGCCAAGCCCCCGTCCCAGTTTCATCCCCTAACTGTGTAGTTGCTAATAAAAAATACGTTTCTGTTAATTACTGTTTCCGTCATGTTCTTTTAGAGGAGAGTGTGTTTGAAGTGGGGGAAGGGGGTTGGTAATTGGACAGGACAGTCACCTTTACCAGGGTACAGACGCGGGGGCAGGTTCAGCAGCAGGTCACACACACATTGCAGTTACTACGCACCCTGGTCAGTCTGGGAGGTGGTTTTCATGTTCTGGGGGGGGGGGGGGTACGTGACTTTGTGGTGGGGGAGGGCGGTTAGAGATCTTACGCAGCGGTCCTTAACCTGGATCATTGAGCCACGCAGCAGGGGATCTGTAACCGTCCTCCCCCTGCCACAAAGTCACATAGCCCCCACACACAGAGTCCCGAACAGGAGGGGTGGCAGGCTCCGTTGAAACAACCAGTCCACCACTGCGGACCACTCTAGGAGCAGGAGCCTGTCATTCCTCGAGTTTAGAAGCGTCCTTTGCATCACTACACCCGCTCCCCACCACAGTCTGCGTCCTAGTTTCAACACTTTACCGCGAAAACAGTAATAAAGAAAACTGTGTTCATTAATAAATTTCCAGTGATTTTATTTTTAAACGTGTGTTGGAAGGGGGAGAACGGGGTGAACGGGGTATGTGACTGGAGAGGATAGTGAACATTCACTGGGTAAGGAAACGTGGGCAGGTTCTGCTTCTCTGTAAACAAACTTAATAGTCACAGGTTACCCTGCTCACTGTGGAACCTAGCTTTCAAAGCCTCCCGGATGCACAGCGCGTCCTGCTGGGCTCTTCTAATCACCCGGCTGTCTGGCTGGGCGTAATCAGCAGACAGGCTATTTGCCTCAACCTCCCACCCCGCCATAAAGGTCTCCCCCTTGCTCTCACAGAGATTGTGGAGCACACAGCAAGCTGCAATAACAATGGGGATATTGGTTTCGCTGAGATCACAGCGAGTCAGTAAGCTTCTCCATCTCCCCTTGAAACGTCCAAAAGCACACTCCACCACCATTCTGCACTTGCTCAGACGGTAGTTGAAGAGTTCTTTTTCAGTGTCCAGGGTGCCTGTATAGGGCTTCATGAGCCAGGGCATTAGCAGGTAGGCTGGGTCCCCGAGGATCACTATAGGCATCTCCACATCCCCAACAGTTATTTTGTGGTCCGGGAAGTAAATAACTTCCTGCAGCCGTCTAAACAGACCAGAGTTCCTGAAAACACGAGCGTCATGAACCTTGCCCGGCCATCCGACGTTGATGTTTGTAAAACGTCCCCTATGGTCCACCAGTGCTTGCAGCACCATTGAAAAGTAGCCCTTTCGGTTAATGTACTGGCTGGCCTGGTGGTCCGGTCCCAGGATAGGGATGTGAGTTCCATCTATAGCCCCACCGCAGTTTGGGAATCCCATCGCGGCGAAGCCATCTATGATGACCTCCACGTTTCCCAGGGTCACTACCTTTGACAGCAGTACCTCAACGATTGCGTTGGCTACTTGCATCACAGCAACCCCCCCGGTAGATTTGCCCACGCCAAAGTGGTTCGCGACTGACCGGTAGCTGTCTGGCGTTGCAAGCTTCCAGAGGGCTATGGCCACTCGCTTCTGGACAGTCAGGGCTACTCGCATCCGGGTGTCCTTGCGCTTCAGGGCAGGGGACAGCAACTCACAAAGTTCCAGGAAAGTTCCCTTTCGCATGCGAAAGTTTCGCAGCCACTGTGATTCATCCCAGACCTGCAGCACTATGCGGTCCCACCAGTCCGTGCTTGTTTTCCGGGCCCAGAATCGCCGTTCCACAGCATCAACATGACCCATTGCCACCATGATATCCACGGCGCGGGGTCCCGTGCTTTGTGAGAGGTCTGTGACACTCTCAGACTTAATGTCCTCACCGCGCTGCCGTAGCCTCCTCGCCCGATTTCTCAGCATCTGCCTCTGGAAAAGGTGGATGATAAGGGGTGAGGTGTTGACAATGGCCATAACTGCAGCGATGGTCGCAGCAGGCTCCATGCTCGCAGTGCTGTGGCGTCCGCACTGTCACTCACCAGAAAAGTGCGCGAACTGATTTCCCGCCGGCGCTTTCAGGGAGGGAGGGCGGGAGTGACGGTTGGATGACGACAGTTACCGAAAACCACCCTTGACACATTTTTTTCCCCAGAAGGCATTGGGGGCTCGACCCAGAATTCCAATGGGCAGCGGGGACTGCGGGAACTGTGGGATAGCTGCCCACAGTGCACAGCTTCCAATGTCCACGCTTGCCCTGTTAGTGTGGACTCACAAAGTCGAATTACTGCCCTTAATGTGGATACACACGTTCAACTTTGTAATATCGATTCCACATATTCGATTTAAGTAAAATCGAACTACTCTCGTAGTGTAGACATACCCTTAGTTAGATTTACCTGACCTTTTCTTCAATGGCTCTTTTAATGTCTTAAAAACAAGAGCTCTTTTTATTTATTTTTTATTGTAAATGATATGCTTGTTCCCATAAGGAACAATCTCTTCTTTCCAGGGACTCTAAAATGTCTGGCAGGCTGTACCCTAGTCTCAGGTCTAATAGGGATGTTTATACCCCTTTTCTTTGTAGATTTTTCTTCTCATTTGTTTTCTGCTGACTGTGTAATTAAAAAAAAAATCACCCCATTTTCCTGTTCTCATCCTGCTTCCCCCACATCAGCCCACACAATCAATGATGTGTTTCAATATTCAAAAGCAGATTTAGAATAGCAGAACACAAAAGCCTCTAATGTATTCTTGCATATTTTTCTGAAAAATGTAGCAGACATACATTGTTAAATGCTTCTGCAGATGTCTTTAGACCCTTGTCATCAGCACAGAGCAATAGGGCACATTCCAGTAGATTTTCAATTTGCATTAACATTTCTTTTTGCATTGCACCTGTGTGCATGCAATCCAAGCAGAATCTCTAAGAGAAACAGACTTGCTGAGTACACTTCAAAGAAAATCATCAACCAACATTAAAATAACAAGAAGCTCCGACAAGGCAGCATCAGAACAAATATGGTGTTTTCTCTCTGACGCTCCTGTAGTATTTCACAGGGAGCGCTAGCAATGACAATACTTTCCTAGTGCCTGGTTACCTTTAACCCTAGCATAACAGCAAAAGCTTGAATAGCACACACTGATTCCACTTACAGGCTATGCGGACTGATGCCTTCCTGCTTTTTGAGGTCCCTAAATGGCTCCATGCAACACACTGACACCAGTAATCTTCTGGCCCATGAAAATCCTCCACCTGCTGCCTTGTCACGTTGATGAACACCTCTCGAACCTTCAAGCCTGAATAGGAAAGATACAGAAAATTAGCTGATACAGGACATCTTACTCAGGCATAAAGCTAAGGTTGGCCAAACCTTTTCTCTTTAATTAACCAATTCCATTTTTAATCAAGGCAAAGCTTTAATTAGTTTGACAATAACATATTACTGCTAATTAAATCCGAACAGCTGAGTAGGTCAGAACGCACAAGTCGGAAGAATTACCGACCGAGTTTGGGCTTTGGAATAATGTAATATCTGCCTTAAAAATCTTTTCTTTTCTGCCTTTGCTTTCCAAATGTTTTTATTTACTGATTGGATTTGTTTATAAACTACAATAAAAGTGCATCCCCATCCAGCCCTCTTGACAACCTACTGAAAATACATTGACAGGCCAGTCAATTAACGCCCGATCAAATTAAACACCATAAGTGTGACAAGAACTGATTGACTGCCCCACTGAATCCCTGCCGAAGTTACAACCCACCCACACTCATGAGGAAGGGAGAAAATATGAGCCTTGCACTGTGCACCAGGGTGTCTATCTAAGTCTGGCTGTTGCAGTCCTGGGGAGAAGTGAGTTCCCAAGGTCTGAGGTCCTGATGGAGAATGCCCTGCCAGCTGACCAGTCTTTCTTGTATTGATGGGTTAAGTAAACCAGCCACCATTTTAAAGCATTGTCTTTCTTTACAATTATCACAGACGATGGTGTTCATACCATTCAGACAAGCATCTTGTTTGTTTTATTCAGACTCTTTCCACAGGCCCCTGTGCATGGTACAACCTCCCTGAGTTCATCTGCGGTCCTACATTTAAGTCCCTCTTAAAGGCCCATTGGTGCTGTGCTAACTAGGGTAAATCTAGCGGATGTATATATTAAAACGAGTCTCAATTTGTTATTCCCCTTTCCCTAACCTATGCCCACTTATCTGTCTGTCCTTAGACAGTTCTTAAGGGATTAGTCCTTCTTGAATCTCCTAGCCCATAATAATTATAATGAACATTAAATGCATTGATCATAGTATTCTAGAGTTGGTAGAACATATCTTATTGTGGGAGCAAACAGCATAAATTATTTTAAGGCAAACAGGGATCTTCCATATTGTTATGTGAGCTAATGAAGAGCAAGATGTACTGGACACAAGTTGTAATGCAGACCATACATTTTACCCAGATGAAAATTCTAGCACTGGTTCTGTATTTGGGCATACAATTCCCAGTGATTTTGGGGGTGAATAATCTGTGCTGATAATATATCAGACAAAAGTTTACAAATATTTCCTCAAAGTTGCACTAGTTCTAGGAGAAGCATGAGCAAACAGGTTCATTTTCAACTTTTACAGTATTATAGGAGGCTCATTTTCATTACCAGAAAGATGCAAATAACTCAGAAAGAAGTGAGAAAAGAGTGAGACAGTGACCAGGAGAAAGGATTGCCTAATTAAGAATAAACAGGAAGAGAGCTAACTGTTCTCTCTCTAATTGCTATAGTCTAGCATTCATAATCTGCTGGGCATGGGAGACATTCAGCAGGAGCTTCCTTCAACCCAGAGATGCTGGACATCAGGCTTGAGGGCATGTATGGGACATACTTAGCGAGACCTGCCATTTCTGATACATGCTGCTGGTACAGCTGTTTTACTTAATGTAAGAAACACTGTGCGTGAGAGTGGAGATGGTCTCCTTTGAAGTCTCAGGAGGTTTTAACTCTGGTTCTAGCAAAATGGGACTGGGAAGAAGAGGCGGCAGTAGTGGAGAGACAATTCATTATGGTGATTCTTCTGTGGGTTTCAGGAGCTCATAGAGTTCCAGGGGACAAACAAGAAAGGTGATATTCCTCATCAGAACTAACACACACACACACACACACACTATATAGCAACAGTGGTATCCTCATATTTTCAGTTCCACAAAAGCACAGAACAATTGGACTGATGATGAAAGCAAATGAAAAACCATGCAGCCAGCAAAGCTGCCAAATGCCATAGGAAAAAAATCCCATAATCCACTTCTACTGAGCTACTGCAAGAGAATGGAGGAGGTAGTCAGCAGAGTTGGCTAGAAAACTGAATTTCTGACCTATAGGAAATGATGACATTTTGAAATTTGTTTTTGTTCCAATTTGGAATGATGCCAATATTTCAATTTTTTTCACAGATTGGAAATTCTGAACCATTTCAATTTGGAAATATCAAAATATTTGTTTCAATAATGTTGAAATTAAATTAACATTAATATTGTAATGTATATATTATACTTTTAGTTTAATTTTATTTTGACTTACAATGTAATTAAACTAAATGTTTTTACCTAATCAAAATGAAATAAGACTAGATGATTCATCAACACTTTTCCATTAAAAATCTTGTTGAAATCTAAACATTTCCTTTTTTTTTTTTTTTTTAAACCAGCTCTAATACCGAGTCCATCAGGAAAACTGTTTTCATGGTATAGTTACACTTCACAGAAGTAGATTCTGTGGTTGTGTCCACTCCCCTACAAATGCCCTTTAAATGTGATTGCTTTCATCTTATTGTCACTATGGCTAGAGATTGCTTTGTGTCATCTTGTCTAACATTCTCTTTCAGAACAGAGCACCACCGTCAGTTGCATCCTTTCTGCTGTTTGCAAAGGGCATTTCAGGGGACCCCAGATATTTCCAGCTTGGTTCAAGAAAGACACCATCTCACCTCCAGGGTAAAATGATATGCTAAGGATAGCCACAAATCAGAGAGGGGGAAATAACGTTACACTACAAAGTGTGGCCCTGATTCTCCTCTCCTTTACACTAGCAGTGGAATTGGGAGGTTCTCTTTTCCTACACAAGACTGAGAGGCGAGTAAGGGTCCATGCATCCTTCCCTCCCTAGACTGATAGGCTGTGGCTGTTAGCCACATCTTTGACACTCACTGTAGGACAATCTGGGGGAGTGGAGATATAATCCAAACCCAGTAAAAAGGCATCACAAATAATTTGAAAGATAGCTGGTCATAAAAGCATTAATTTGAAAATGGAGCACATTCATTCCTGCCACTTTTTTCTCTCTCCCCTCCTGTGCCATCCTGAGATACTTATTTCCCCTTGGCTGGAAATGAATGGAAACGCAATCTCAAAATATTTCATGCCTGTGAAGTTTATAAAGCAGCAAGGAATTTCTAAACTTGAACTCCATAAATTGGCTTCCACTTAATCTCAGGCATCATTAACAGCTGGGTATTTCACTTCTGAAAGGCATTAGGAAGTCAACCTGTTCCTTCAATAAACAGTAGAGATAAGGCCCACCAGGAATACTAGAGGGGAGGTCAAATCAGCCTTAAATGCTGTAAAGCAAAACAAAATTTGTGCTACTTTGCCAGCAGCTGTTAGAGAACATTTTACTTTCTTTCACTTACTCTATTTGCTTTGTCACACTACTCAATGGCATGGCCAAACCTGTGACCTTTTATAAAGGTGTCTCATTAGCCCTATTAGTCACTCAAATGCTCATTCTGTAACAAGCAAGCGAACATCTTTCTTGTTTGTTTTGTTTAAATACGCACACTGATGTTGCAGTTCTGAACAAAGCTGTATCTTCTGTCATGATGGAAACACAGCAAGGGATTATGAACCAAACACAGCCCAGGGAGTGCTATCAGCAGCTTCCCCTCTCTGTTACACAGCACTGTGGCAAAGAGACTGTTCGCCCCGTGATGAAAATGCCCCATCTCAATTGGAACAGCTCAGAGAAATGGAGCCTTGCATGCTCAGCCACGTATGTAGGTTGACCTCTGGTTTAAAGATGAGGGCAGCTGCAATAGGCTCCATTGGGGCAATCCTGAATCAAGGCAAGTTGCCAATGCAGCTCTTAACTGGTCAAAGTGTGGGCACCCATGCCATATCAGATGACTTTCAGATGTATATATCTGCCTAATGCTGCACATGATAAAGCCATGCTATATACTGCAGCGACTTGTTAGAGTTGGACTCGTCCAGAACTGCTTTAAGTGTTTCATAGTCCCTGTACTGCTACCAACTTACAGAGATTCTCCTTCTAACATGACTAGTAAGGGCCTGGAAATGACTCCTTATTACTACCATGAAATTTTGAGCAGTCATCATTCTGGATTTAGCCAATTATGGCTTAATTTTTGTTAAGATATGTTATCTCCAACCTAGAGCCTAAATTTTTCAAAAGTGATTAATGTTTTTGAGTGCCTAAGCAGAGATACATTAAAAGTTCCTGGTTTTAACAAGGCAGGTGCTCAGCATTTCCTGAACAATTAGACCCTTTTAAGATGTCCCAAGAGAGGCATCCAAAATACTTGGGAAATGCTTAGAAATACTTTTTTCTTCATCTGAGCACCATCCTATTTACAACTATTTTAGAAAAACGTGGACAAAGTAGTCCTATTTGTGGCAGGAGGAACGTGCTGCAGTTCCTCATCTCTGCAGTTCACCCAATAGTACCAAGAAGGTATATCCACCTACCTCCTACATCTCAAGAGATACCAGCAAAATTGTTCATAGGAAATGTCATAGGCAGAGCCCAAAATCCGTGCAAACAAAAGCTAGCATGTCATAAACAAGAGCAGAATTGTATCTGATAACTTGCATAACTCTAATAAGCACTGAAAGTCCAACCCTTTAAATTATTGTGCAAATTATAACCGTCATCTTTTGTTATACAGTACAGCCTTACAGAATATAAAATTATGATTGTGGTACTGATATGCTAATAAGCTTTCTGTGCTGTTGGATGGTTTAGTTGCAGATAGACTAATGCTGGCAGCAGATGAATAATTGCTCTGTATGCACTAAACATAACGCAGCAGCACAGAACTTCATCATTTGTCAGCTTTATTTGTTTAAATGAGAAAAATGCTGACAGCAGTTATTGCTGTAATCCTTTTATTTATCAGAAAAGAAAACTCTAGTTACTCTTCACAGGTCTGATCCTGTTGGGAACCCCAAAGATGAAGTATTTTAAAAATAATTTGAGGTACGTTCTGGAATGTTCAAGTGAAAATAAAAAATCAGAAAGAAGTTATGCCTTAATTTATTTATTTTTTTATTACAGACACACCTAGAGACCCCAACTAAAGCTACATCTCACACTGTGAGCTAGTCGTCATTCCCCTGCTTGTATGCACATACTCATCAAGCTAGTGTGAGTATAATTAGCCATGGTGGCACTAGCAGCAGCATACAATCGCAGTGGATATGTACTCAGCCATACCTCCCCGCTACCACAGCTATGCTGCTGTTCATACTCATGCTAATTCAATGAGAGAGAATGAGTACAAGTACATGAGCAGGGGAATCCCATCCTTAGCTCATAGTGTAGACATGGCCTAAGACTGGGTCTTTATTGTGCTAGGCATTGTTTGTACACATAGTACACTCCCTACCTTGTAAATAAATAAGACAGACTTAGGGTGCAGTAAAGGAAGTTTGACTCGCCCCAGTCTACAAATCAGGAGCCAAAGCAGAGAGAGATGATGTGACTTGACTAAGGTCACATAAGGAGGCTATGGCAGAGCTGGGCTGGAACCCAGGTCCTCTTGTGTCTCAGGCTTAACCAAATGGCCATCCTTCCTTCATACTATTTCTACTCTTCAAATTAATAAAGACCTTTGTCTTATTCTAAAACTATTATTTCTGCTTTGTAATACCCAAATCTGGGAAATCATATTTAATATTCATTGCTGTGCCAAAGTAAGCCCAATGCCTACCACCAGCTGTCCTTCCTACCTTTCTATACAAGTGTAATAATGAGTTGTAGATAAAACCCATCAGTAGCACTGTGCCTTTGCTACCACTGCCAAGTGCTTCTTGTGTACATCTGACTAGGAGTTGCTGGGAGGAATATGCAGAGATATATTCCTTGCTTTGTTATTACATTTCCTCTTTAGAAATGTAGAGTTTTTGGGAGGGTTTTTTGTTGTTGTTGTTTTTTGTGTTTTGCTGCTTTTGGGCATCATCTTTATGTTTATCCCTTCAGCAATTTTCACACTCACTGCCAGCAGAAAGGCAGGGAGGGAAGGACCCACTTCCATTTAACGTGATCTGCTTTCACAAGTTCTAGGGACTATCTCTGAATGACGAGGGTGCACTCTTGGCATAATTCCAAATACCACTCTAAACCGGAAGGCTGCCCAATACCCAAAATGCCATGCTAGCCTGCCAGTAACTGTCTTGCTAGTGTCTAAACCTTGGAGGAGTGACTCAGATAAGAACTAGGACAAATCACTGTAGCAGCCATTATACTATTCAGGTTTAAATATCAGGAATCAGAACAAGCAATCACATTCATGACCTGTCACACGCTTTCAGACATGCGGCATTTTCGCCACATGTCCTGAGAAGTGAATGCTTTGTTAACTCAATTGTTGAAGACTATAGAATGCCTCAGAAACTGTGGACCACACAAGGAGAATTTAAGTCATTTTTCTGTCATTGAGAATCTAGATACAGAAATACAGTTTTACATTTTGTGCATCTCATTAAAATGCAAAGAAACTTTGAGATTAAAGGGCTTCACAGCTCATATTGCCTAATACCACAGCTAGCACAACTGGGCTTCCTGAGCTAAGAGTACATCCATCCATTCTGCAGATTAGGTGCCTGCAGGCTGGAATACATGTAGCAGTAATTTAAATATGGATAATTAAAAAAAGAGGTGCCGTATTTCTTACTACCTTTTTTAAAAAACCCATCTAATGATTAAGTGAAGCTAAAATGACTTTTGCATCTTCAACCTAGCAACAAGATTAAAGTGTACTTATATTAAATCAGATTGTATTTATTAGACGGTGACAGTATGCCATAATCTGCAGTCCCTTTAGACAACAATAAATAATAATATTCCATATACCTCAAAAGTAGTACAGCTTCTGCTTTGAGCAGAGATACCAAGAACTAAAGTCTTGCACTAAATGCATTCTCCAGTTTAGCATATATTGTAAATTGTATACAGATTCCTCTGGAAGTAAACAAAGGAGGTACCAGTACCACCTGATTTAGCCCAAAGGGATAGAACATGCAGGGTTGTAGAGACACATCTGGGCAATTATTACCCAGTGTTCGTCACACCTATAGACTCCTTTGTAATACACATGTACCCACTATCTCACAAGTATAGTTTCCAGAATTATTGGAACCTTCCTTTCTAGCTTTTGAATTGGCGATTCCACTGGTACCATTTTCTACTAGAGGTATAAAATGTCAAATCTCAGAACAAAGAGGCACACCTGGCAATCCAATCTGGTCATCTGCATTATAACACCCAGCAATAAATAGAGCAGAAGTAAAAAAAAATTAAAGTCAGCAGGACTTGTGTGCTCTTGGAAAGTTTACACTAAGTTACAAAAATGGCAATAAACAAGTAGTTGAAAAAAATTTCACCAGGTCTATCCCTCAATTTAAGGCCGCTGAGCTTTCCATCCATTCCCACCACCACCCGCCATTAAGTGTCTCAGAACAAGATGTAAACCTACAAAAAGAATAAAATACCCATAAACTATTTTTTCATTTGTCTCAAAAGTGTCCCAAAATAAAGTTTAATTTATGGTTATGGCTCAGTGTATGCAGCCTTCACTCGCATTTTGGATTCTGAAAATACAAACAAAAAGGATTCTGACCATATCCATGTTCAAATAGTAACAATTTTTGGTGATTTTCTAATGCTGGGCTGCATTCAAGCTTGCAATTTTTAGGTTCTATATCCAATTTGTAATTGCCTGAGCCACTAAGTTCAAAAATCTCAATATTACCTGTGCAATTTTTAAAAAATCTATGTTGCTCTCTCTTAATCAATTTTGCTATTAGTCCAAGGCTTAGAAAACATAATTGCAGTGTGGACAAGACACATTTTCATTAACCATATGGAAGAAAAACATTTAGGAACGACATTTCTTCTATATTGATTCAGAAATGCCTTTGGAAGTAAAGGTTATACCTATTAAATGCTTTTCAAAAAGGTAACTGTAAAGATTAAAATTCATTCATGAATAGCATTTACAAAAAGCCTTTAGTGTGTAATCTCTTCAGAATCTGTCACTTACACATGAATGCCTTACACCACCAGCATTTTAGATATGAAACTTCTTTTTAAATGGTGGCATTTTCCCCCCAAAAAGGAATTTACTGTACCGACAGAGAGGATGTTATATCTACACAGCTATTTCCAAGACATGGAGTTGCCTAGCAATCTTGGAATTTAACAGGAGGAGGAAGGTAATAAAGAAAACAGAATTGTGAAATTACAAGAGGGTGCCGCTTTAAATTGGTTTGCAATACTTATCAAGATGTCTCTAAATGAGAGGGGCTATAGGATGGTCTAGGAGCATGATAAAATCTGCTGATCATTTTTCAGCATTCTTCCTTCTCTTCACTCTCTATTTTCAGACACACACTTTTACAAGATGCAATGCTCCCACTTAACTTCATTAGCTGCCAAATATCCCACAGAGGGGGAAAAAAAGCATTCAAGCCATACAGTTTAGTAGCTCTGCCACAGACTTCCAAGCTCATCCCCGCTGGGTAGGGACAAGGGGTTCCGTAAATGCACAGGTTTTCCCTACTTGTAGTTCATGCTACAGGTGTCTTAACTGCAATACCAGGGACTCTTGCTCCCTCCAAACCCCTCAGTCATTCTCTTTTGAGGCCTAATCCTGCTCTCGTTGATATCAGCGGCAAGAAAAGCAGCAGGATCAAGCCCCTAATCTCCTCTTTAAAACTTTGACTGTATTAAACTTCATTCCCTTTTACACTTATTACTTCCTACAGCCCCACTCACGTTTCCTCTCTCCCTTTCCCTGTGTCTATTCAGCCAGAATAGTTAATTACAGCTATACATTTCGGGACTAATCTTTTCCTACACTATCTCCATTCATGGCTCTCCCTTTCTATCTTTTAAGAGCTGTTGTCCTCAACTTTCTGAAAGAGGTGCCCTTTATTCTTCCCCTCTAAATCTCACTCTCTCTCTCTCTCTCCATCCTATTTCTCCCCTCTGCCTTTTGTGTTTTGCCAAAAAGCAATGTATTCTAAGATATTTTCACATGAACACAAGTCCCAGTCTTACCTGTACTTTCATCCATGCTTTCCTCAGAGACATGCTCATTTTGGTGGACCCATTCACCATTACACTTGAAGAAAATCTGCATAGCGGGCATGGCTTTGCATCGCAAGGCAATGGGGTTGCTTTTAATGATGTAAGCATCATCTGGTTCCTGCATAAAATGAGGCAATGTTCCAGGAGCGGATGGGAGAGACTCAGGAAGGGCTTCACTGTTGTCATTTCCTGACAGGAGAGAAGAAAGGAAATTTTTGCATACTGGAACCCATAAGAGGTGACAATGACTTACATGTTAGCCCATAATTCAATAGGAATACTTCTGGTTTGGGTTCAGTTAATACTCGATTTTCTATCATTTCTGCCATGTCATTTTGCTGCCTAAATAATATCTGGAAACTTCTTATTATCTAGTTGTATTATGGTAGCACCTATGGGCCTCAATTGTGATTGGAATGGTAGGCATTGTACAGACCAATAGTAAGAAAGAGCCCCTTGCCCAAAGTACTTGCCATCTAAAAACCGTCAAGACACACAAAGGAAGTATCATTATCCCCAATTTCACAGATGGGGAACCAACGCACAGAGAAATTGAGTTGCTCAAGCTCAAACAGGAAGTCTGTGGAAGTACTGGAAATGAAAGCCTGATTTCCTGAGTCTCAGTCCAGTGTCTTAACCACAAGAACACCCTCCTCTCAAATACTGCATTTAATTTCCTTTAGGCAGTTGTTGCAGGTTTAACAGGGATCAGCACGTTAACCATACAGAAGTTTATTGATACGACCAGTGTTATTTTAGCATCCTGGAAGTGGAATAAACAAACAGCCACCTCTAACAGGGTTTGAAGAAACTTCAACACACGTTGAGATTGATTCCATGTATTATTGTCCTTTTAAAGATAACCAAGGAAGGGAAAGATCTCACCTAGCAGCTTTCATAGAGCCAGAACCTGCAAGATGCTGAACTTGTCCAGAGAAGTACTGAGCATCCTCTGCTCCTGTTACAGTCAGTAGGACCTGAGGGCGCTCAACTCCTTGTAGGGCAAGGCCATTTACCCTCTGTACTCCCACACTTAGTCAACCAGATGCTCAAGACTGTGAAGGGCAAGAGAGAGGTACTGCAATACAAGCCTGTTATTTGTTACAACTCTGTTTTAACTGAGGCAAATCCTGGTCCCACTCGAGTCAATGGTAAAACTCCCGTTGATTTCAGTGGAAGGGGGATTTGGTCCCTGTATATTTACTTCAATGGCTTGGCAGCTTTGTGAAGGAACTCTGAGAATAGCAACAAAAATAAATCAGTAGAGCCTGATTTATGAAGGAAGATTAAAAAGGACTGAATATGTACAGCATGGCCAATTGATAACAGAGAACAGAGTCCATAGGCAGATAAAGAGAGCACACTGTGAAAGAGAAAGGAATAGCTGATGGCGGTGTATGTGATTTAAATAAGAATAATGAGATGAAATTAGATGAAAGGTAAATTACAATGAAATAGCATGACAATTTTTTTAAGAAGACAGATCTATTATATTATGGAATAGCGAGAATACAGTGGTTACTTTTAATAATAATACATACCTCATCATTTTTCATCTGTGTGTGTATGTTTATATAAGCATCATTTTTCATCTGTGAGTGTGCGCATGCTCACAACACACAGATGATAAATGCTATTTAACATTATATCCATAATTATGATATAATGTATTTACGCTATTATAATTATGAATATATGTTTATATATAGTGTTTTATAATTAATATATTAATTATGATACATTACTTATATTTATATAAAGTAATATATTCTTTTATATGTAAAGATATCTTACACACACACACACACACACACACACCCAAGATGTCTTTAGATGTAGTGTAAAGACATCTCAATCAGAAAAACAAAAACGTTTTTTGGATGGGCCAGAGAAGATCTTTGGCATGTTTTAAGTTACATTCACAATGCACTTCATAAAATAGATCATAATTCTTAGCATTTTATTACTGACCATTTTTGTCAATTTCCATGATGTCAATCTTCAATAAATACCATGTCCCTGCAGGCTTTACTGAATCCAAGCATTGGAAGAAATAACAAAAAGGTAGAAGATTTGATATGGGCATCAAACCTTCATCAATGTCTTGAATGCCTTACAAAGCAGATACCCTTGCTTATCCTCAAATAATCTAGTAGACGGTGAATGGATGGGAAAGAACAGTGAACAATTTGTTAATTATTCACATACAGAGTTAGTCAAATAATGAGAACACATACTGTACTTTAGTAGTTATGTTGCCCAGCCTTAATTTTGCTTAGTTAGGACTTGTCTATACAGAGATTTTGTGCATGGCAGGCTGGGGTATAAATCTATAGCACACTAGTCTGCCACATGCTAATTTGCTATGTGGACCCTGATGCTGTGCATTAAAAGTCTCATAGTGCACACTGATCTACCACTGAAAGAGAAACAGCAGTAGATCAAAGCACACTACGGAACTTTTTGTGCAACATAGCGGACTCCATGCAGTGACTTAGTGCACTACAGATTCACACCCTAGCTTGTCCACACAGAGACTTAACATGTGCCAAGCACTTACTGTGTTCACCATTTGGGGCAAAGGACTGATATTGTGAAAACCTGGCCCTATTGACATCAGTGGAGGATATAATTTCCTCCTAGGTCCTCAGATGCTTGGTCGCTTGCTACCAATGAAAAGTCAGCTAAAAATGATCGCTGATTCCCCACTGAGGCAAGAACCGGGGCAATTTTTCTCCTTGTGGCCCAGGAAGACCTTGTGTTACTAACCACTACACTTTTAACATACATACAATGTATCATGTCAAATTACAACACCATCTCTTTTTAATATTGCTATCAGTCTATCCTCCAACCGACCTCACCAGTGGCTAAATTTAATGGATATAAGAATGGCCATACTGGATCAGACCAATCGTCCATCTAGCTCAGTATCATGTCTCTGGCAGCGACCAGTGCCAGATGCTTCAGAGGGAGTGAACTGTGCAAGGCAATTTATCAACGGATCCATCCCGTTGTCCAGTCCCAGCTTCTGCGGCACTCAGAGCATGGGGTTGCTTCCTGACCATTTTGGCTAACAGCCATTGATGGACCTATCCTCTATGAAAGTTAATTCTTTTTTGAACCCAGTTATAGTTTTGGTTTCCACAACATCCCATGGCAATGAACTCCACAGATTCATTATGTGTTGGGTCAAGTACTTCCTTAGGTTTGTTTTAAACCTGTTGCCTATTAATTTCATTGGGTGACCTCTGGTTCATGTGTTATATGATGGGGTAAACAGCACTTTCTCATCCACTTTCTCCACACCATTGATGATTTTATAGACCTCTACCATATCCCCCTCAGTCATATTTTTTCCAAGCTGAACAGTCCTAGTCTTTTTGATCTCTCCTCATATGGAAGCTGTTCCATACCCTTAATCACTTTTGTTGCCTTGTCTGTACTTTTTCCAATTCTAATGTATCTTTTCTGAGATGAAGCAACCAGAACTGCATGCAATATTCAAGGTGTGGGCGCACCATGGATTTATATAGTGGCATTATGATATTTTCTGTCTTCTTATCTATTCCTTTCCGAATGGTTCCTAACATTGTTTGTTTGTTTTTTTTTGGTCTGCCACTGCACATTGAACAGATGTTTTCAGAGACCTATCCAATGACTTCAATATTTCTTGGTAATGGCTAATTTACACCCCATCATTTTGTATGTATAGTTGGAATTATATTTTCCAATGTGCATTAAATTGCTTTTATAAATACTGAATTTCATCTGACATCCTGCCCAGACAACCAGTTTTGTGATGTCCTTTTGTAACTCTTTGCAGTCAGCTTTGGACTTAACTATCTTGACTAATTTTGTATCATCTCCAAAAATTTGCCACCTAACTGTTTACCCCCTTTTCCACATTTATGAATATGTTGACAGCACTGGTCCCAGTACAGAACCTTGGGGGACCCCACTATTTACTGCTCTCCACTGTGAAACTAACCGTTTATTCCTATCCTTTGTTTCCTATCTTTTAAGCAAGTTACTGATCCATGAGAGGACCTTCCCTCTCATCCCATGACTCCTTACTTTGCTTAAGAGCCTTTGGTGAGTGACCTTGTCAAAGACTTTCTCAAAAGTCCAAGTACACTATATCCACTGGATCACCCTTGTCCACATGTTTGTTGATCCCCCTCAATGAATTCTAATAGACTGGTGAGGCATGATTTCCCTTTACAAAAGCCATGTTGACTCTTCCCCAACAAATCGTGTTCATCTATGTGTCTAATGATCCTATTCTTTACTATAGTTTTAACCAATTTGCCTAGTACTGAAGTTAGGCTTAACAGCCTGTAATTGCCAGGATTGCCTCCAGAATCTTTTTTTTTTTTTTTTTAAATCAGCATCACACTAACTATCCACCAGTCATCCTTTGAACACTGATCTTGCCATCCTCAATAGAATGGTTTTCATTTGTGGTGCAGGAAGATAACCCCTAAAGAAATCATTTAGTGCGTGAATGAATGCCAATTCAAGCCAAGCTGTGTCTGTCTCTCAATTTAAATTGGCTTTAGATTACAAGTCAATGGAAAGTCAAGATGACACTTTCCAATGACTGTAATACAATGCCAATATAAATCAATAAGAAGACTCATCTTGGCTTGAATTGGCATTAGATTACATGTACTTAAAAGGAGAATGAAACAAATATTATATTGAGGAGGAGGTAATAATCCTGTGTATCCTGTCCCAAATCGCTCACTTGTAGATCCTGGAATATTTTTACACTGTATCTGCTTGAAATCATTTCCACACCGCATTTTATAGTGTACGGCCTCATGTTGCAAATCTGCACCTGACAAATATAGTCCCACTGACTTCAGTGAATAAGGACTTCCATTATCCTTAGTGTATGTAAGCAAGAGATCTCATTACCCAACAGTATGAACGGTTGGGCTGGAAAGCAAATCTGTGCCTCTGAAGTTACCTAATCTCAAGGAAAGCCACTAAGGAATTGCATTCCTTGGTTTTTGTTTATGGAGATGTTACTTGTCTCCATATGGTTACCGAATTAGATGAGAACTGCAGGCACACCCATTTGAATGTGCTACAATAACCAGACTTTTATATATGAAA